AAAAGTTATATGATAGAAGTTTGATAAATCAAAAGATTATATAATTTTGGAGGATTTGAGAGAGAAAATTCTTAGAAATCAAAATCATAAAAAATTTAAGTAAGAGTATAGTCACATACTTCAATTAGAATAAAATCCATAACAAAAGTTTTGGACAAAAAGGCCCCAAAGAGCTTTTCCTCTCTCCCTTCTTTTCCCCTCCTGTTTTCTTTCCTTCTAGGCCAAGCAAACAAAGTGAAGGGCGGTGGCGTGATGGAAGGCATATTTCGATTTTTGCAGCACCCAAACTACCCAGAGACGCTACGTTGTGTGCAATTCCAGAGTTACTTTAGAACAGAATGTGTTGGCACTGTCGCACCAAGACAACGCCTTAGCACTTCTCCATATAGCGTCGTGGTGTTCAAGTTCTTCATCATATTTTCATTTTTAAATCATTTTTAAAATGTTAAGTTGATACACATTCCACCCTAAAAAAATATATAGATAAACCCCACTTTTTACATCAAAGGAGATTGGACTATGGCTTGTGATTGAGGAAAGGTCAAAGATCACAGTTTGGCCAGTTCCATCGAATCATGATTGTCCAAACCACCCCTCAAGATCACCACTATTGATCAGCCACCATCATTCAACTCTGCATGCAATTCGATCGGTCCATGCAATTCGTTGTTATTACTTGTCTTGATCTCCTATTTTTTAGCAATAAAATCAAAGAGCTTCCTCTCTCTCTCTCTCTCTCTCTCACAGACACATTCATTTTGTATTTATTTTAGTCAATCTAATAGTCTCAATAAAATTTTAAATAATAATATAAAAATGTTAAATTGTAAAGCTTATATTAAGACATTTCTGAAACAAAGATTGAATACATGCATCATAATTTCAAAATTCTAAAAAATGTTAATAAAATCAAATCCGTAAAATAAAAAATAACGTTTAATCCTTTAAATCATTTAACAAACTAAGTAAAATAAACACCTTAGCTTGAGCCAAATTAAACTACTTCATAAACTCAATTCAAAGGTTAGAACCTAAGAGATAAAACCAGATCAACAAATTAGGCTTTATTTAAAACAGTTTTCTAACTCCTTTCTACAGCAATTTTTTAGTTAAAAAATCTATCAAAAATAGTAAAAAAAAGCAGTGTTTAAAAGCTGTCCCACAGGATTTGATGATGGAAAATATGGAATGTTGTTAATAATACTAGGAATAGAAGGAGTAGCATGGGTAGTCATTATAGGCTATAATATGGATTATTGCTCAATATGGATGGTCCCTTATGAACCCGTTGTCAACTTCTTTTATTGACAAAATATCAATGTGATAGGTTTATAGGGCCACTCATCCCCATATGCCATCTAATAAAAAATAAATGAAGCAATGAATAAGCTCCTAAGAATTTAGTAAAAAAAAATCAATAAAAATAAAACTAAAATAAAATATAATAAATTAAAATATGTACTTAACATTCAAGATCATAACTCAATAGGGTATCAAAGAGTTCAAACTTTGTCCATTAACAAACTCATTAGCATTATTATTGCCATTATATCTATCAATTTCTACTAATTATATATCTGTAACATACAAATTAGGTAATGGGTCTTCAAGATCAATTGTAGGTTCCCTAAAGTTTGATATTTTATCTTCTTGATGTGCAACATGTACAATATCATGACCTCTGATGCACCGACATTTTTCCTTAAAAAGGTGTGTGTCTGACACGTATCCGACATGATACTCATAAAAATCAGTCCGTCAGAAAGCTGCCGGAAATTCTATCGGTAATAGGCTATTTTCCTGTAGTGACATGTCTGATTAAAAAAATATTAAATATATAATTGGACAAACATATCTTAAATACTTTATAAACTTTTTTTAAATATATTTTCTTATATTTTGTGGGATTTAAACTAAATTTCTTATTTCCTATCCACAACACCAAATCCATGTTCATACTTAATATCCATTCATCGAATATTCTCATTTTCATTTCTTTTTGGCAATGAAGGTGTTTTTATCTCCTCTCCTCGTGACTGATAAACAACATCGATGTCTGATTCTCAACATCCTACTACTAATCATTTTAAACACAAATTCTAGTTAAATGACTTATTATTTCTAAATTATTTTTAAAAATATACCTATTTAATTTTTATACATAATTTTTAAAATATAAAAACTACAATACAGTGTCCAACCAGAGTCTATGTCCTATATTTTCAATAATTGAAGTGTCATGTATCTGTGTTGTGTCGTATTTGTTCATTGTGTCCTTGTCTATGCATCATAGATCATGACTTTTAATGGTTCCTCAAGCTTTATTTTAATGACTACATACTAATCTTGTTTATCTATCAAACAATCTTATTTATCTTTCACTCTAGCTAGATATCTCGTATAGTACACCTTAATTTTTTGGCTTGGTATTAAGGATTGATCAAACTTTAACGTATCACATAATACCACAATGATTATGCACCCTGGTGCCTCTATTTAGGATTGAATCAAACAACTCATGGTTAAAGAGTAATCTCTTATAAGATACCATAGTAGTCACCATCATTTTTCATGTACGAGTTCCATCTGACACAAGCACCAAAATTTTCTGTCTTCCTTTATTCACCCCACGATCTAATGAAATTTGTAATCATTTGTTCGCTCCAGAAAAATTATCTTTTAAATTATTAATAAGATGCGACCCCGCTCTTATGAACTTAGGGGTTCTCTTTAATTTTCCTAGAGGTAGATTGAGTTTAATATTTAACCAGATTTCCTCTGTTAGTGATATCATGATTTATTTAGATCTGAGTTCTACTTCCTATGAGCGCAAGCTCTCATAGTTAATTACCCCTCCTAATACATTAGAAGAGCACTCTCGATTAAGGATGAAATATACTTACCTTTGTACAATAAGTGTATGAATGTGCAACATATATTTAAATTTAGTTTTGGGGGGATGAAGGTACACCCGATCAAGATCCCATGGTTCTGTCATCTCGGGCATACCGTAGGTTCAGTCTACCAACACTAATAACCATTGGTTGTAGCGCCCAGAGAATCTGATTAGCAGCCATTGATTGCCTCCTCTCAGGAATCCCGAGTAGACTGAAGTGAAGATCGATGTGTGAATTTTAGTTTGATTTAATTTGGGTTGGAGCTTATGGCTTCCTTAGAAGTTGCCCATTAATTTATTTAGTATGGGGCTTATGGAACTAATTAGGAGTTTCTCGTGTGATTTGATTTGGTAAGGACTTATGACTTCCTTAGAAGTTGCCCATTAATTTATTTAGTTTGAGGCTTATGGCTCCAATTAGAAGTTTCCCATGTGATTTGATTTGGGTAGGGACTTATGGCTTCCTTAGAAGTTGCTCGTTAATTTGTTTAATTTTGGGGCTTACGGCTCCAATTAGGAGTTGCCAGTTAATTTTAGTTTTAAGTTTAGGTTAGTTCACTTAGAAGTTTCCTAACACACGGGTCTTACTGCTTCGCTTAGAAGTAGCCCATATGGCGGGTCTTACAACTTAGTCCTATAGACTAAGATGCTCATAGGGATTTGTCTTACAACTTAGTCCTATAGACTAAGATGCTCATAGGGATTTGAATTTTGAATTTAGGGTCGTTCGTTTAGAAGTTCCCTAACAAGCGGGTCTTACTGCTTCGCTTAGAAGTTGCCCAAATGGCAGGTCTTACAACTTAGTTCTATAAGCTAAGAGCCCAAAGGGATTTGAGTTTTGGTTTTAAGATCGTTCGTTTAGAAGTTCCTAACAAGCGGGTCTTACTGCTTCGCTTAGAAGTAGCCCAAATGGCGGGTCTTACAACTTAGTCCTATAGGCTAAGATGCCCAATTAAGGGGTTTAGAGTTAGGTTATTTCCTAGCTATTACCCCTAAATACTGGACTTACGGCTTTCATTGAAAGTAGCCAAATGGTGTTTTGGGAATTTATTACTTCACTTAATAAATATATATTAAGTGAAAGAATTGTCGATAGGATTTACTACTTCTATTAGAAGTAACCTATATGATTTAGATTAGTTAGGGCATAGCTTTAGACACTTTAAATCCTTCGACGTCAGTCTTAGTGTCTTATTTTATGCTCGTAACTTATTTATACTACAAGAGTTTGTGGCTTTATTTTAGTATTGTCGTTTATTTGTTTTTACAGCTTTCAGCACTTTGCTTTGCATGCAATAGCTAGATTCTACTTTTTTTTCAGCATTTAATTTAGCCTTGTTTATTGATACACAGACTTTTGCATGTTTGCCGACAGGAGCTCGTAGCCAACAGTTTAGGAAGCTCTCATGTAGCTACAGGAGCATGTTGTTGAGAGCCACTTAGAATGCTTGAGATGTTTGTTGGAGAGCTATAGCTTGTACTTAGGTTGGACTTTTAGTAGAAAACATCGTAATTATTATTATTATTTTTATGCTCTTTTGATTTTTTTGATTTTATGCTTTATTTTGATTTAATTAATTTCATTAATTAATTAAGTTTATTAGTTAAAATTTTGAATTTTAATTAACATTTAATTTGTTCAATTTGTGACTTTTAAATTTAGAATATATTTTAAAATTATTAAGCTTTTTTATTTTATTATTTTTTTAAGGGAGTGCTCGACTCGACCGGAGCGAACCGACGGCAAGGAGATTTGATCTTCAAAAGGTTTGATTGGCGATGATCGGTTGTTTGAGATTGTCGAATATTGCATTTCAGAAAATTGGCTAAGTACTGGATTTTTGAGGAAATTTCGGCAGTCTCCCGACGCCCCCTCCCCGGCGTCGGGAGGTAAGGGAGTGCTCGACTCGACCGGACCGAATTAACGGCGAGGAGATTTAGCCTTCAGAAGCTTTGGATTGCTGATGGCGACGCCTCTAATTGTTGTATATATAATATGTATTGTTTATATATATTAAATAATAGATAATGTTTAATAGTAATTACTATTAATAACCTTCTCCCTTCTATTCTATTTGTTGTTTCAATGCAAGAAGCTGAAATTACATGCACCGGGGCTTGGTTGGATCGGGCAAGAGGCGGACACTGTAGAAATCAAAACCAATGTAGGTTCCGTTCGGGCTATTTACGAGAAGCCGCTCGGACGAAAGCCGAAAAGAAGCCGGAGGCGGAGGTGGATGCTTCCGGCGGAGAGTGGCTGATGGAAGCTTTACGGTGAATAGAGGTTTGCTGGTCTTTGCGCAAGGAGGTTGAGGCGTTTGCTGGCTTGAGGCTTGTTCAGTGCTTGGCTTGCCGGTGGATAGAGACAGACGAACAATTGATCTTTTCTTGCTTGGGAGAAAACTAAGGAAAAACCAGAGCCGAAACTTTTGCACCAGTCAGTATCCGTTAGCATGAAAACCTCCATTCATTCTTTTTCTTGTTTTTATATGAATTGAGAAAGTTTCTACATGGAGGAGATCATGGGATAACGTGCTGCGGTTTTGGTGCTTTGCCGACGGGCCAACTAGAGAGGTTTTCCCTTTTTTTTTTAATTACATTTCGTCATTTTAACTGACAATACATCTAGGTATTGGCTTTTGAACCGTTGGAATTGCCTTCCTAAATCAATATGAGTAACTGAATATTTTATAATGCTTATAATTACATAATTTGAGCAATAATGTGTAAGTCCATGCTTAATCTATATGCCTTCTTTGAGTCAGAAACTTGAATATATTATTTGCTTCTTTCGTTTAGCAAATTAACTCTAGTTTTAATTTGATATTAAATATAATTTAATTTGAACAGCAGCCAAGATCTAACTCCCCCAACCCTTCGTCGCTTTTACCTGTTCGTGAACCAGGCCAAGTCCTGTTCAACCCTTCGCCGTCCGCACACCGGTACCGGACCCAACGCCGACTCCTCTTGCTGCCTTCGCTGACCTATCCGCCCTCCTCTGAGGTATGTCAATTCATTTCAACTCAAGGGGATTGAAGCTTATATTTACCTAATTGGTCCTCTATCCGCTTGAGTGATTCACTGAATTGAAGCAATTTTTAGTGATCTTATTAAAATTCACCGAATCCAAAGGATTTTGAGATGCGACGCCTAATACGCTTTCTAATTTTTCTTGGATTCGTTCCTGTGTATATGCAGGAAGACGATGAAGTTTTCCTTTACAAAGATCTCATTTTGAAGACTGAATCTTGTGGTAGTTCTTCGGCACTCCATCTTGAACTTCTAGCTCATTTGCAATAATCCATGTATCATCTTCTAGCTAAACTCTTTACTTTTTCTAGTCCAACTTGCATCTTCCAAGCTTGATGGAGATGATCTACTCTGCAAGAAGTTGTTTAACCTAGTGCTACTGGTGTTTTCTGTTCAAGTGGTTATTGGAGAAATATATATCCTAGTGTAGTGAAGGATCCTTTCAGGTAAAAAGATAAGGTAATTAATGCATGGACTAGTTGAATGTGTTCCAAATATCTTAGAAAATCTTGGAACAAGATGAAGAAGCCTAATCTTATTGTTAAAACATGAATTGTAACTGGTTAAAGTATTTACAACCGATACTCTCTGTGAAAATGATTTGAATTCTGCCAAATAGTAGTTATGATTTAGTTTGCATATAATTCATCTTTTAATATATCTATAAGCTTGAGTTCATTTTAAATTGTGACAAGGTATTTGACTTAGAAACAAATAGATTATGTTGAACTTTCTGTTGCATTTAGACCTAAGGGATTTGTACAGCACATGCATGGTATAGTATGGCTTAATATTGCAACCAAAACTAAACTTTATGACAAATATAATTAATACTAGGTGAGTGTACAGTGTATTTAATTTAACTTTACTTCATGAACTTTCTAGTAGTAATGCCTACTTTTCTCTTTCCATCCCCTCCATGCGAATTCAAATCTATACATTACCAGAAAGGCTATTTTCCTTGTTCTTGAAGATATCATGGATGATTTGATTTTGTTCATTATTGAAGTGGGCTATTTGTTTTGTTTGCTGGTTTTGTTTTTTATTTGTTGGAGTTTGAAACTTCTTTCATTTGTTTTTTTTATTTTGCTGAGGGATACATGGGGTTTTTGATTTTGTTACAAATTGTTCACTTGATTTTCTGCAAACTTATTTGTATACGTGTTGGAGGGCTGTTCTCCATCAACATTAATTGAATTTTTATATTTGTTTGTCTTTATTAGCAAACTTTTTTTGACAGTTACAACAATGCTATTACTTGTAGTTACCACAAGTGAGCATCCTTTTGTCTCTTGTTTATTTTCTTATTGTTTAATTTTTTTTCGTAATATATTTTTAAATGTTTTCTTCGTTGTCATTAGTTTTCATTGTGCAGTTTACAACCTTATGGTATTTGGTTTCATGTTTCTTATGAAGGCAGTTCTTGAAGCGATTAACATATTTCGCTTTCATAAGCCTGTCAAGGAATTCCCTCTGATTTTGGTTATCATTCAGTCTCAAGTGGCATATCTTACGATCTTGATTTGATGTTTGCTAATTTAATGGGTTTATTCACTTCTTCGCATAGCTATACTTGTCAAGGATGTGCAATGTAGACATTCTTGTTAAGTTCTAGAAAGCATCCTGCTTTTCACATTCAGATTGTGCATGTTTGTTATCTACTTAAAAAAGGTACAAATAAAATCTATACTTAGGTACCTATAATGAGATGATATATCATTCCTAATCCTGAGTTCCATTACAGAATTAAAATTTAAAATTTAATATTCTCAAAGATAATTAAATATTTTGCAAAACTATATATACTTAAATATATTTTTTTCAATCAAAACAATATATATATATATATATATTATTGATTGGGCACGAATCTCAAAGCAAAAAATCAAGTTAGAAACTTCAAAATTTAAATCAGAGACCATCTAAACTCGGATTTCGGCAAACTTACTGTCGAACTGAACGTCTCAGAAATACGAACCCAACGACATCAAATTCAACTCAATTCGAGCTCAAATAGATCAAAATTGAGGACCCGGAGCATATTTGGAAGGTTCAAACCATAATTTAGATTACCAAAAGGTTTCCAAATGTGACATGTTTATAGTGACCCCTCCAATTGAATCTTTGATATTTAATTGTTTTGCTCAAAATTTGTCAAAATCATGTCCTGCTTTTGTCTTGGCATTAATTTATGCATTTTATCGAGTTGAAATTTATTAAATTCCAACATCATTCACTATAAATATTAGCATATCATAACTTCTCGCCTAGGTCCCCATGAAAGATCATGCAACCCTTTCTCTTGAACTATATTTGTAGAGTCATGAAACTAACACAGAAACTTTGTTTGACCCACTAAACCCAATGGGAGGGGTCTTAGGGTATGGCTTGATCAATTTGACCAAGTCAACCCCCCTTAGCCCGAGTTTAGTATAAGCAACATCAACAAAAATTTCATAGGAATGATCAGAAAAATGAGGGTTTTCAATCCAATGGTGGAATCACGTTGGATTGAAAGTTCCTTTCACACCTGACCAACACTAGCTTACTAGAGGCTCGGGAAGAGATTCTCACAGTGTAGAAAGCCCATATAAATAGTTTTTTCTCCTTCAAACGACGAGGCCGAAGGATCGCCGGAGGTTGGACTTCGAGCGTGATGTGGATGGGTTTTACTGGAAGCCGCTCGAACTAGTAAGCGAAGGGGGATGGGAAGCTGCGGAATTGTAGAGAAAGACTGGATGAGCTCTGAGAAAAGAATTTGAATGCTTGGGATTGAATGGGGACGTATGGGTGAGGGAGACCTATTCAAACATTGGCCACAAGCTCGGAGGGTCAGGATTAATCGGGGCGACCGTTGGATTTCTTCCAGGTGGCAAGGACACTTCCTTAGAGGTATGTGAGCTTAAAGCTGGTAAGCCTAAGCTTTTGAAGCCTTTGGATGAGGCCCGAGATGGAGGGGACTACCGGAGGAGAATTCTCATTCATTATGGTCGCCCTCGGCCAGGAGCTAGGGCCGGGATGAGCTAAAAAGGCATCTGGATGTCTGGTGAGCTCAATTGGTCAAGAGGCAAACCAACTCACCTAGATGGCCCGGTTGATTGTTTGGGTCAATTTGGGTGCAACCCATGTCAAGCTAGGTGGGGAGCTTGATGGGGAAGATAGGTTGGGTCAAGGAGCACCTAATGCAAGTGGCAATTGAGCTTGAATTGCCCTAAGGTGGGAGATGGCTCAAGTTAACATGGTTTTGACCACTTTGGGCTAGCCTAGAGGTTTACCCAAGTAAACCCAAGGGCTATACTAACTAGGGTAGGTGCCTTGGGTCTACGACTATCCAATGGGAGTGTTGATTGGGTTGGGTGGGGCTTAGGTTGGAAAATAGCTCAACCCATAGTGGTTTTTGCCACTTTGGGTTAGCCAAATTCCTAACCCAAGTTGACCAAAGGGTTGGTTCAGCTAGGGAAGGTATATTGGGTTAAGGAGAACCCAATACCTCCATTGATTTGGTCTAATTGGGCTGGGGATGGAACTTGGCCCTAAGGAAACCCCTCTTTTGACACTTGGGTGAAGCCAAGTGGGCCCAAGGCTTGGGTCTTCAAGAGGTCACCCATGGTTTTAAAAAAGTTTTATTCAAAGAATTTGAAGGGGTTGGAGTGTATGGAAGGTTTGGTCAAACTTGGTTGACTTGGTCGACTAAATAGACATAGGGTTAAGGGTTTGGTCCATTGAGTTCAAGTTAATCATATGAACTGAATGAAAAAGGTCCCATGTCAAGAGGAGGTCACTTGGTTAAAAATGGGCGTTTAAACCCTCAAGGGTCACTTTGGTCAACCATGGTTCACTTGGTTAACCAAGTCCAACCAAAGTGTGGGTTTGAGTTCAATGTATTCACAAGGACATTTAGGATCCATTGGGATATATTTTAGAGGTTGATAAGGGAAAACCATATTGAATTTTGGGGAAAAGACCAAAATTCCCCTTGAAGGGCATTTTGGTTATTTTGACCCCTAGTTAACCCTGGGTCAAACAGGGTCCAGGAAAGTGCAGGTTATTGTTCAGAAAGTCACAATGAGGGCTATGGGCTTAATCAAGGAGCTTGGAGAAGGTCCCCGGGCCAATTTCCACAAGGTGGCAAACCCTGTGACATATGTTGTAAATAATTGAAGGTTTTGCAGCTTTTAGGGATCAATATGGTTTCTAGGGTTAGAGACATCCAAATGAGCTCAAATTTAGAGGTTTGGCACTAAAGGCATGTCATATCAATATGAAATTGATAGACCCTGAATTAGATGTCAATTAACTTGGTTTCAAGGTGGTAGAAAAATCACCCAAAAAGGGTTTTAAGACCTATTTCCTTAACCCAAAGATTTGGTTTCGAATGCTAGATTTGGATTGGATTTAAGAGTTGAATAGATTGACTTGGATCATCCACATCAATGAAAGTCAATTAGATGATTGAAGTTGATTGGATATGATTTGAAAGCTGATTGAAAGTTGGTGGAGGGCTATGCTAAAGATTGGATTGAATGGTAGAACTGAATTTGATTAGACTTGGATTTGGCTTTGACTGGGACCTATATGGATGAGAAGTGGACACCTCCCAATCATGAGGTCATGAGAAAGAAACCTTGGTACGTCCTAGTGACCTTATATAGAAATGAGGTCAACATACAGATTTATACCTTTTACTGATTTATACAAGCTCTCTATTGTTTGGATAGTACCACTATGATGTCTGGTTTTAGAATGATTATTTACAGCCTTATCATTTTGACATATGTACCATATTGGTTTATAAGTTTTATTATTACATTATGTGTTTTAAAATTTATGCACATATTCATGATCATATTGTGTAAAACCCCCCTCCAAAGCTGATTTTTTTTAGTGCAAATCGTCCGTACAAACTGGATTTAGTACGGGACAAACTGAAGAAATTTGTGAAGAATCTGTCAATTTCGTCTGTACGAACCTGGAAGGGTCGGGACGATCCGTCTGGACAAAATTTTTCCAGAGAGCAAGTCGTCCGGACGAATTTTAATTTCATCTGTACGAAATTCTGCCCGAGGCAAATCATCCCGGGACGAATTTTGGATCGTCCGGGATGATCAGTGTTAATAAATATCCGATAGAGATATTTTGGATTCATTTGAAGAGAGAGAAAGAGAAATCAGGAGAGAGAAAGAAAAGGAAGAGAAGGAAAAGCTTGGTTTTGGAACCCGCGGAGCGCTTTTCGTCCGACGACGCAGTTGGAAGATTTGTTTGTCTCGCAGTAAGGACTCCGAATCCTATTTCTGTTTTCAAAGATTTCGAGTTTTGATATTTCTGTGCTCAGTTTTGTGTTTTCGTTACCGAAAAAACGCGCATAATTTTGTATTGACGAAAGTTTTACTATGCACATATTCATGATCATATTGACTGCTACTATTATGAACTGAATTATTTTATGTATATTGCTCCTTTTTTTTTCTTTGAGTTAAATAGTAGCATTTTAGTGACCTGCTGGATTTTTTAAGAAGCTCAATATATGTGGTTTAATGATTTCATGTCAGAAAGGAGGTTTAGAATTATGAGACTAATTATATTCTTCAGATTTTGTGGTCATTAATGGTTAGATAATATGTTAAAATTAGATGACTCAAGACTTTTGTATATGATTTT